AGGAACATGGAGATAGGACTCCAGCATGCTCATAGCTCCCATTTTGGCAAATACCAAGAAAGAAGACACCCACTGGATCACACACTTCAGAAGGAGAAACTGTGTGAGAAGCAGAGCTCAGTTTTTAAAAATGAAACAGTATTTAGCTTTTGAGAGGAAATGAGGGTGTGATGTGAGGCAATGGTGGTGGAAGCCCAAGGCTGACCATTTTCTCCTCCTCTGTGTATACCTGAAAATTTCTATACTAAAAATTTAAAACCAAGTAGGACAGAAAGAAAAAGACGAAAGGGGTGAGGATATGAAATTAGGGTCCAAAGTGCAAATGGCAATGTCTGGCAGTGGGCGTGGCCCTTCTGTGTGTGGTAAACAACAACAGAGAGCACGGCCCAGCTCCTCTAAGAGGAATTGCAGCTGTTCCTGCAACACATGCAAAGTGGCATCTTCCCACGCTTTCCCCAGGGGCTGCTGTGCCCGAGACCAGCCCATCTCCAGTGACTGAGGTCTTTCCCTCCACCCTCTTGTCTTCCTCTGTTCCAGTCACCATATCAGAACCTTGCACATTGAGGTTCAGAAACAGCAGATGGTTGTTCTCCCAGCTCTGGGGGCCAGGAAGTCTGACATGGAGGTGCTGGCGAGGCTGGTGCTGGTTCTGGCTGCAGGTCCTTGCCGTCTTGCTGGGTCCTCACATGAAGAGAGTGGGAACAGGCTCTCAGTGTCTCCTCTTAGAGGAACACTAAACTCAGCAGGAGGGCCCCACCCTTCATACCTCAAGTAAGCCTCTCAAAGGTCTCTTCTTGCAAATACCATTGTGTGGGGGCTAGAGCTTCAGTGCGAGTCTGTCTGTGTCTGTCTGTCTGTCTGTCTCTGTGGTCATGTATTTGGAGGTGAACATCCAGAGGCCAGAAGACATCCTCAGGTGTCCTTCCTCAACCTTGTTATTTGAGACAGAGTCTCTCAGTGGCCTGGAACCCACCAAGTAAGTTGAGCTGGCTGGCCAGAGTTCCAGGGATCTGCCTGTCTCCAGAGCTTTGCAGTGCTGAGGTCACAAACAGGCAATACCACACTTGACTTATTTATTATTATTTTTTAATGTGGGTTCTGGGGATTGAACTCAGATCCTCATGCTCGCAAAGCCAGCCCTTTGCTGACAGCGTTATCTCGCAGCTCAACATGAGCCTTCCTGTTACACAATTCGTTCCAACGCCTCTCATGTCCTCATGTCTTTTCCATAAAGCATCGTTCAAGGCAAACAGCTTTCAAGTGATCAAGGGAATGCAACTTTGGAACCACTTTTGATCCACTTTTCAGAAAGTGCACTTTTGTAGTTGAAAAAATATTACACACATACGGTCTAACAAGGGCTACAATATAAAAGAATACCTGGAAAAAGATAAAGGTCTCCATCCTATAAGCCTAAACTGGCAAGACTTCTTTGCACTTCACTGGAAACAGTCTTTGAATATGCTCACTCAAGGAGACGTAAAGTGGGTCAGTCCCTCCAGTCTCAGTGGGAGCTGAGCAGAGGAAACAAAGGTGTCACCTCCCAGTGTGTGCTGGGACAGAGAGGGCTGTGAGCCAAACAGGTTCATGGGCATCATGGCTCTGGAAGTGGGAGAGGAGAGACTATGCAGAGAACAAGGTACGCTGCTTGTCCACCGCCATGGCTGCTGAGACCTCCGGCAGAACTGATGTGCTCTGTGCTGGGAGATGGGGCTTGGTGGACTGGTGTGGATCCCTCCCAGGCCATCTGCAGGGGAGCATCGGAGCTACTGGAAGTGGCTGGCACGCACCGTGTATCTAGGCTCAGAAGGCAAAACTCATATACTTTGATCGTGTCCTCCAAAGGCTCACAGGTGGGCAGGCTAGTCCTCAGTGTGCTATTAGGAAGTCACATGAGATCATAAAGAGGTATGGCCTAGGAAGGGTCACTGGGGGAGATGCCTTGGGAGGGCTAACAGGGTTCTCATGTGACTGTGGACCAAAGGTCAGCATCTGGAGATGGGACACTGCAGTGGTGTTCCTTCAAGTTCTGTAGGCAGGGGTGAATGCCCTTCTTTTTGTGACTCTGGCTGGTTCTGGAAAGAAGGTGACTATAAAGAGCAGCAGGGCCTGTCTGGGCTCTCCAGCCATGGATTCCTGCCATCAGGAGTCATCTGTCAGTGTATGGTTTTGAAACCTTAGACTTGTGGCGACTTTCTTTTTAAACAACTTACCTAGCTTCAGATGTCATGTACTCCAGTGGGAAATGGATATGGATGAACACACTGCCTTTTTCTTCCACTAACATATAAGTGTGCAAGACTCCATGGTCTTGCTAGAGAGGCATTAAGGTAGAAAGTTGGAGAATATACACTCAAATGTCAGCCCCAGCACTTACTTACTTGAACGACCTTGGGAAAATTAATCAGCCTCTCTGGGCCTTGCTTTCTTTGTATTTAAAGATAAATAGCTTGTCGTTGGCTGGTATTGAACATTGTAGTTGAACATCAAGCAAGACTCTACACATAAATGGTCCAAAGACTCGATGGCTCATCACAAGTGTTCAACAGAACTGGATGTGCCATTATTCTTATTCCATCCTAAACCTTACCATGCAGCGTAGGGCCTGGCACATTGAACATTTGTGGAAGCGCCAGTGAAGGGGTCACTAAAGCAAACTGTAGGGTAAGGGGGTGCACAAGTGCTGAGACCCACAAACCTTCACATCTGGTGGACACGGAGGGACTTGTGCTGGAAGAAGAGAGAATCCATCTTCCCTTTGAGACAAACACAGAAACGAGGTCCAGACTCTCCCCAGAAGCATGGCGCATGAGCACATTTGAAGCTCACTGCCTTGTTTCAGACCTTCAACAATCTTTACAGCAAGTGTTGACCA